TAGCTTCGGCTCATAAACATCTGAATTGGCAAGTGCAGTTCACCCTCTGATGCTATTAAGTCCCCGAGGAAACTCGATCCCTATTACAGATCCATATCTGATGCAAACAGAGCATAGAGTTAGCAAGAAATTTTGCTACAAATCCTCTCACTACAACAAAATCTCAACATTTCTAATTGAGACATTTTGTCAAACATCATCACGTATCTTAGAAAATTAAAGGGAAATAGTTTGCCACAGTTTTGGAGCTAATCCCAAATTTAAAGAACAATCTTTTTATGCATTTATACACAAACTCATCACAATCTATGCCCAAACTTGCTTCAAATATAAATGAACGAAAAATCTACTGAAATTCAAAGTTCAACTTCAAAAACAAAATTTATTCAATGTTACCTTCAAACTCATGAGTGTAATTCTTCAAGGTTGAATTTCCTTCAATAATCCTAGATTTTCTCTTGGATGACTTTGATTCATGTGAAACTATTGCCCTCTCTTAATACACATATTATACAGCAGTTTAACTGAAGTACATAATCTGATAGAAAGAAATTAAACAAGGGCACATACTCAAATGCTTTCATGTCAACATCTTCTTCCCAAGACGATGATGCTCGACGAGAAGCTCTGCTTCTTTCAGCTTCTAATTGTTTTGAACTATAAGTTATATGGTGATTTACACTCCACGTACACATGTATAATCATGAACGAGAATGATAACAAAATTTAAAACAAAATTGGCCACGTGCAGACCTGTGCTTCTTGAAGCCGCTTTACTTCCTTCTCCAACTGAAACTCAGCTGCAGCCTTTTCACTAGTCATGGTTTCCGACTGTGGGTGCTTGTAATACTGAAAGCCACATTTAATAGTTGGACATCAAACAAGTTGTCATTGGCTGCTAATAGCATGGACATAGATAAATTTGACCTAATATCAACAAAGATTTACCAACAATCGTGGATTTACAGTGCAAGAAAAGATTTTCGCTCAAAATTCACCCCCAAAATCACCTAATCATCCAAATGGGAAACTCTTGTTAAAACTACAAAAATGTAGCAACATTAAATTGGTGAGTAATGTTTTCTCTTTGCAAGAACATTGGAGAGTTGGAGTCGAAGTCGGAGATTTCTAGAGGGTTTTTTGATTCGGGGATTTCTGCTTCTAATTTGGATTTTTGTTGTGGTGACTGGTGTGGAGGTTTTGAAAGTAATTAATACGGTAATTGTAGTTTTAGTTAGTTTCAACGTATTAATCAAATACTTAATTTTTTTAGGGTACTGTATCTAATTTTCCCTTTTAAAAAATGTTATTATATTGTATTTAGAAAAAATTCAATTTTAATTTATAGCATTCTCAACAAGAATGCTATATTTCAATGTTATAAAATGTGTAAATTGTTATAGTGTAGCATCTTTTATGGACTATTACAAGTTTCTTATATCTTATTAGATTAAACCTTTAGGTTACAATATTCTTTCAATCACATTTATTTATTCTAGAATACTCCAACAAATATTCCTCTACGTTTTTAAAGTTTTTCACAAATCTTTTCAAAGTTTTGTTAAAAATATATAGGCCGGACGCATACATCAGGGGCGGAGGGGAGGGACCCTCCCCCCAAAAAAAAATTTTTGACCAAATTTTTTATTTTTTTTATTTACGATTTTGTATTTGAAACAGCCTTCCATGAATTTCATAATGTACATTTTTTTTTGGAGTATTGAGATTTCAAGTTCTCTAAATGTTGGGGTGTCTGTGTGAGAGACCTTTTATTGTAGGGGAATACAATATTTTAAACCCGCTTACAAATAAATGATCGAGAATGCTAAAGTTTTGAATTTTTAAGCTATAAAAATTAAAATGCATTATGTATATATGCCTAAATCATAACTTCTAATTTTGAAGTTTGAACCAGAAGAATTGTAAGCGTCCAAAAAATAATTGTCGATTACCTATATATCTCTTTCCTATCTCCATCACAACGTAAAAACTTTCCTCGTTTTAAGAGATAATGTTAAAAAAAAATTCGGGCCCCGTGGGCCCCCACAACTCTAGGACCCCCCCTAATTCGACTGGCTCTGTCCCTGCATACATTACTTGTTAACACCAAGTTTGAGTCATATTATTCTCCCAATAATGCATTTTAAATAATGTTTTGATGGAGAATATGTGTTTAAAAAATAAGGAAAATTTTTATATTTGCATGTAATAATATTTTATTAAAAAATATGTGGTTGAAAATAAAAAAGAAAAATGTATTTTAAAAGAATGGGTAACAAACATGGTGTAATTTGACCCCTTTCGTGTCTCCCACAACGTTCCTCATGTAGTCATGGTGCTTCTTGAGTGCGGGCAGTTTTCATATTGCTATTATATTTTATAGTATAATTAATTTTAGAGCATGTTTGATTCCCGTTAATTTCAAAATACATTTTTCTCTTTTTTATTTTCAACCATATATTTTTCAATAAAATAATATTATATGTAAATTCAAAAAAGTTCCTCATTTTATAACTACACATTTTCCATCAAATCATTATTCCAAAATGCATTTTGGCAAAAAAAGAAAAAAGAGGCTCAAACATGTCATTAAACATTCCTAACTCTAATATTGAAACTTAAACGTTTTATGAGAAAAGTTAGTAGAATATAATGTTGTTGTTTCAATTGTAAAAAAAGTTTATATATATAAGACAATAATTTAAATAATTATTTTTAAATATTTTATTCAATTTAAATAGTGATGAAACAATTATTATCATAAGCAAATAAAGTAAACAACAAA